AATTAAATTTTAAAATATGCTCCCATTTTGTATAAATGAATATATTTATAAAGCCAGAAATTTCTATATATGTGCAAATGTATATGTGTGTATGTGTGTGTTAAAACTATATAGAAAAAACATAGTCATTATCTCTGAATATAGGTGTGTTTTCTTCTGAATCATATAGATTTTATTTTTCTACAATGAACATCAATTATCTACCAGTCTTCAACAGAAACAGAAGCTTCCAAGAACTGTGTGAGTCTGCCCCTGTCTGTATCTGGGGTGATATACCATGCTGTGCCCCTGTCTGTATCTGGGGTGAAACATCATGTTCTGTCTGTGTCTGTATCTGGGGCGAAACACCACACTAAGGAGCTGCAGCAGAAGCATTCAACTGAAATGAGACCAAGGACTCCTTTATGATTAGAGCAACACAGCACTGTCCACGAGACCCAAGATCTAAGGGCATCAATTTCAAATCTAATTTTCCTGTTCTTCCACTTATTGTGTGTATGTGTCTGTGTGTGTACATTTCTGGGTCCAGGTGTGTGTACATATGTGTACATGCATTTGGAAGCCAGAAGTAGGTATCAGGTATCTTCCTCAATCTCACTCTACATTCTTTTTTGAGACAGGATCTCTCACTGAGCATAGAGTTCACTGATTCAGCTAGTCTGGATAGCCAGTAAGCCCTTGGGATCCACCTGTCTCCTCCCCAGAGCTGAGATTAAAGTGTGCACTACCACACCCAGCTCTTCCATGGGTGCTGGGGATCTAAACCCAGGTCTTCATGCTTTCACAGTGAGCATTTTATCCACTGAGCCATCTCCCCAGCCCGTCCTTCCAGTCACTGGAATGTAATTTCAAAGTCATTACACTGAATTATTTTATGAGTTATTTCTATGGTCACATTAAATGTGCATTACAGTATTCTAAGTAAACTTCTATACTAAATCAAGACCCCTTGGGAAGCCTTTTCAACTTTCCCACTAAAATATTTTGACCAAAATAGAAATTCCATGGAAGATAGTTTACAGGAGCTACACCCTTCTGTTCTTTATTGCTATATCACAAAATCAGTCCGAATAACTCAGTAAAGCATTTAAACATTGGATTTTTGAATTTAGCAATATCTTCTACTATATTTAATTTGAAACAGATTGCACTTGTATTCAAGTTGGCAGTCATTCATGGATCTCAAATTTGGATAGGCTGAGTTACCACAATGTAAAACACCATGCATGAGAATAGCATTTACTGTTTACCATGCAGAAGACTTTGTATAGAGCATTTCATCCAGTCCTGGCAATATTTCAGATTAATTCCTCTATGCAATCACACTGGCTCTCTATGAGTTTTTCAGCCATTCTGCTGTTGAGGGACGTTCATGTTGTTCTGGGTTCTGTGGTTATCAAGAAAAATTTCTATGGACACCTGTCTGCCCAGCATGTGAAAAGACCATGAACTATTTTTATAGACACTCCTCTGCCCAGTGTGTGAATGGACTATGAACTGTTTCTATGGACACACCTCTGCCCAGTGTGTGACCAAACCGTGGACTGTTTCTATAGACAACCCTCTGCCTAGTGTGTGAGCAGACCATGGCCTATTTCTACAGACACCCCTCTTCCCAGTATCTTAACAGACCATGGACTGTTTCTATGGACACTCCTCTGCCCAGTGTATGAATAGACCATGGACTGTTTCCATGGACACCCTCTGTACAGTGTGTCAGTAGACCTTAGACTATTTCTGTTAATAGACCATGGAGTATTTCTATGAACATCCCTCTGCCCAGCATGTCAATAGGCCATGGACAATTTTGCTGCATCATCTGCAGCAATAGCTGTGTGTAGCCTCAACATCTCACATTGTTTCCAGGAGTTTTTGTAACAAGGTAAACAGCTCCCCTCTCCCTTGCAAAGTTGTTCTCAACCTGTTCCAAAATGAGTTGGAGCAGCTGAGAGTGAAGTCCCCTTCATATTGCTCATCCTGTGGGCATCCTGCTCCCAGCCCTTGCATGGATCACAGAGGACCACATGCCCCATCATGCCAACCCCTGCTTCAAGGTGTCCCTGACAGAGCCTGTTTTATGCCTACAGTGCCTGCCATGATTTGATTGTGTCCCTCAAATTTTTCCGAGTCAGAAACTTAATCCCTAAATGCACATTGAGGAATTTCCTCCATCAGATTGGCCTGTGGACACATCTGTGGGGCATTTTCTTAATTATTAATTGATGCAGGGGGTGCCCAGCCCACTGTGGGCAGTACCATCCCTAGGCAGGTGTGCCGTGCCTATGCTGTATAAGAAAAGTAACTGAGCAAGCCAGGGGGAGCAAGCCAGTAAGCAGCATTCCTCCATGGTCTCTGCTTCAAACTCTGCCTTGAGTTCCTGCCTTGGCTTCCCTCGATAATGCACTATAATCTGTAAGCTAAAACAAACCTTTTTCTCCCTGTTGTTTTTGGTCTTGGTCTTTATCACAGCAACAAAACCTAAACTAGGATACCATCCAAGTACACGAAATCCCATTTCTATAGGACAGGGAATGAAACAGCCAACACACATCACCATCACAGCAGCTCCCTGGGGGAAGATGATCATCTCCTCTTTGAGAAGCAAACTTCAGGGTGAACAGCAGGACTATGAGGCAAAGGGGAGACCCTCAGAGCATCTCTCATGTGTGACACAAAATATGCTCATTTTCAAAAAGAATCACGATAAATCTAAATACCGGTGGCTATCTTACTCAAAAAGTAGTGATTTTTGTTGCTGATAGAAAAAAAATAGTCTCTTAACAAATGAAATTGTTATTTTTGGAAAAAACAAATAAGTAAGTGAGGTGAAGGGAATCGTGAATGTCATCCTGTATATGGTTCAAATATCTGTCAAGTACAAAAATGTTGAATCCTTAGGGAACACCTTTAAATTCAGTAGTATGACTAACTTCAACATTATATAACTTAAAATAACTTTTTCTGGGGCCAATAAGTTGGCTCAGCAGGTAAAGAGGTTTGTTGTACAAGTCTGGTGTCAGAGAATGGTGAGTGGACCCTTGGAATCCGTGTAAAGGTAGAAGGCACACCCCCCACCCACACACAGACAATAAAATTGTAAAGATGTGTGTATATGTGTGCGTGTGTGCGTGTGTGTGTGTGTGTGCATGCGTGCATGTGCTCTCACAGAGGTCAGAATCCTCTGGTGTATGTGAGGCGGGGGGATCCAAACTGTGGCCCTCTAGAAGAGCAGCAAGCATTCTCAACAGCTGAGCCATCTCTCCATCCCTAATAACAAATTTTTTCTAATTAAAAAAAAAATAGAAAGAAAATACCGGTCCTGGCTTCCCAGCTGTTTAAAACAAAACCAAACAAAACTTTTCCTGACACACATCTTTCCAAACCCCCCAAAATAAAAGAAAAGAGAGAACTTAATAGACAAAAGTGTGATGTGTCTCCAAGACATCTCTCTCTAGGCATGGAGTTAGGTTTTTCTCACTAGTGCCCATCATTTGACCATGTGAGTGCTTTGACAAGTGTGATGGGCTCACACACAGGGATCCTGACTGCAAGAGCAGTGCACACTTATAGGCATTCCCTTCTAAACTCTGTTCTCATAAAAATTCAGTTATTTAATATTGACATTCACATTTTTACAAGTCCGATTCATCTCCCCTTTATTAATTAGCAGTGAACACTTACTTCCTTCAACTTTCTCATCTTTGAAGGTTTTCTGGGAACTATATGAATATAACTGCAAAAGAAGAGAAAGGAAAGCGCAGTTAGGACAATATTCACCCAGGAATGTGAAGCCTCTGTCTACAGGAATCCTTGTCAGCACTGAAACAGACAACCCTACAACAATTCGTAACTAGAATCCACTCAATATGCAACAGCAACAACCACCTTGAGGCAGTTACAGCTGGGTTCAACTGGCCCTGCCCTGTGGAATCTCCAGTTGGGTTCCATCAGCCTTACCCTATAGAAAGCTTTGCCCATGTCACTGTCTTCAGTGACATGACATTCCCTCATATTTTATTCATCAGAGTGGCCTTAGAAATAAATGATCTAGGGGCTGGACAGATGGCTCAGCTGTTAAGAGCCCTGGTTGCTCTTGCAGAGGATCAGGGTCCAGTTCCCAGCACCCACATGGCAGCTAACCACTGTACATAAACTCCAGTTTCAGGGGATCCGATGCCCTCTTCTGACCTCCAAAGGCATTGTACAACATGGATGCACTTACATACATGCAAGCAATATACTCATACACATAAAATAAAAATAACAAAAAAAAATTTTTAAAGAAAGACAGGCGTGGTGGCACACACCGTTAGGCCCAGCACTCAGGAGGCAAAGGCAGGAGGATCTCTGTGTGATCGAGACCAGCCTAACTTACATAGCAAGTACCAGACCAGCTGGGGCTAAGGCAGAAATTATCTAATTCAAAGGCCTTTTGACTTTTCAGCAATGATGGTGGTATTTGTTTGTGTTTGGTTTGTCTGGTTTTTTGAGGCAGTCCTACTCTGTAGCCCGGGCTAGTTTAGAACTTGCCATCTTCCTGCCTCTGTCTCCTGAAGACTCAGATTACAGGCACACAAGCACCATAGTCACCTCCACTCTATAGAAGAGCTAACCCCAGAACAGATGGCAATGTTGTGAAGTGGACATTCTTAGTCATCACTTCTCTCTTGAGGGAAGCCCTGGTGCCAGAACTGCTTCCTACATGCAAATCTTTTCTCCTGCTTGGCAAGTTACTATTTCAAACAGGCACTAAAGGAGCAGGATCATGGCCTCCTTGATGCTCCCACTTCAGGTCAGCATCAGAGCATAACCCAGACTCCAAAAAGAACCTGTGCCCACATTCCTGTCTTACAGACCTTCGTGGCTGTTCTCAGTTTGTCAGAACTTCAAGCTGGAAGAGGATCACCTAAATAAAATGACTTCTGACTCTTAGGAACTTTAGAAGAGCCTTCTATGTTCCCACAAAATACAGCAAGATGTTTAAAATTATAGTATATAACAATTGAAGACTGCCTTTAATCCTAGCACTCAGGAGGCAGAGGCAGGTGAATCTCTATGAGTTCAAGGCCAGCCCGGTCTCAAGCCAGCTGGGACTACAAGGAGACCTTGTCTCAGAAAAAATAAAGATAAACTGAATATTGATATCTTGTGTTAATATTCCTTCTGGATTAAAAAAAATGTATCTGTTATTGTTGCCAATTTTCTGATGATTTCAGACACAATTCAAGAAGGAGAGTTGGTAAATGACAAGAAAAGAAGTATTCAGTTCAGAGTCAAGAGTCACAGACCCAAACCCCACAGGCCAGACAGCTGAAAAATGACCCTCCAAGGGAGGCATTAGGGGATCACGGGCCCTGTGACCAGCGGGACAGCACATCCCCATCTAAGGTAGATAGGACCTGAGTCCAAGACCCTGTTTACATGTGGAAATGTGAGCAACTAAAAACAAGTCCTTTGGAACAATTGAATCCTCTGTTTTTCAAAACAAAAAAAATAGAAAAGCTTACACTGTTACACAAACCCCCCTTATTACAAAATGTTACAGCCTATTCCACTCTGAAATTTGTGTGGACCAAGCAAACCGCGGCCTCGGGTTGCTCCAGCTGGGAATCTCCAGTGCACCACCTCAGCCCACAGGCCCTTCCATCAAGCCTTCCTAGACCTCTGTACTCTCCACATTGCTCCAAGTAGGTATTTTATGAGTTCTAAGATTTCAGTTTTCATATTTGTCATAAACAGCAATCCCCCAAATCATTACATCTTACAAAAAGTAAAAATGAATGTAGAAAAAACAAAAAAAGATCGTGCTGAAACATAACAGGCTATGTACTGATGTTACATCTCAAGAACATAGAAACAGAACAGAAAGACAGAGCATAACACCTCAGGAACCAGCAAACAGGTGGCGAAAGGAAGTACATGAGGCATTTGGCAGGCTATCCCTCAGGACCCTGCAGCGGGCCTGGTCTTCTTCCAGTGGTATCTAAAGCAGGGGCTGGTGGCCACTGAGCATCTTCTTGCATTGATACATTGAGAGGGAAAAGGAAGAAACCAATGTGACCCTGGGTGTCAGGCACTTTAAAGAAGGGCCTTCATTTAACCCCTATGTGGCACTATGAGGACACTGACCAGCCTGCTTTGCTGATGAGGAAAAGGACTCTGAGAGGGCTCTCATTTCCCCCAACGTTACTCAGATAGGGATGTTTGGATTCAGTTCTACTCAGCACTTATCCTCCACCCTCCCTCACCTGCCCCAACCTCCTGCCTCATGCTGTCACCACCCCACCCAACCACCACCTCCCCAGGCCCCAGCCTAGAGGAAAGGGCTGACGTGGAAGAACTAGGAGAGTTTGACTTAAACAGAGTATTCACATCTATATCTCAACAAGTTCTTCAGTAAGGAGGACCTCTCAAGCCACGGCCCTCAGCAGTCATCAGGATAGAAGCCCACAGGCACTAAAGCCTATCGAGCTATACTTTCAAGCCAGTCTGCCAGGAACACAATTTGATCTTATTTTCTGGAGAATATTAATTTTAACTGCTCAGTGGCTCAGCAGTTACCAACTCTCAATCCCTCCTGAACTGCCATTGACATCAGTGGAAAAGCCATCAGACTTCGTCCACCAAAGGCTGGAGCCTAATTTCACACATCATTGATCTAAAAGCATTGAAGAAAATGAAGCCCAGATTCCTCTCTGTGATGAACCTCATCATGCATCTATTTCATAGCAATAAAAGGGCCCAGATAATGCAAAATAACCAGCATCATCAGCTACACAGAGGCCCTGCCACCCTACCCCACCCTCCACCAGCTACCCCCCCACCCCACACCCTTCCTCAGGAAACGAGTGAAACATGAAGAACATGGGAGAGGAAGCACCTCGGGGTTATTCCATGTATTTTGCCACATGTCTAAAACCTTTTAAATTAAGCCATGTGTATCTCTCTACAAAAGTAGATGTTGAGAAAAAAAAGTAGACATTGGTCCTATAGAAGCTGCCTACATCCCTGAGGAAAAGAAACACCCTCAGGCAACGGGCCACTGGCCAAGCACCAGCTGAGGTTTTACATGGTTCCTCCCACCTTAGCTAACTGAAAACACACCAGTTTCACAAGGAAATAGGCTTTTGAAGGGAGGGATTAAATGTTTTCACTTTATCTGTATTGAAAACCATTAAAGTCCTTTTTGTTTTCTGGTTTCATTGTTTTTTGGTTTTGGTTTTGGTTTTGGAAATTGAGTCTCTAGCTCAGGTTGGCCTTAAACTCTCTGTGTGGACAAAAACAACTGAATTTCTGCTCCTTCTGCCTCCACAGTACTGGGATTATAGGTGTGAGTCATCATGCCTGGTTTATGTGTTGCTGAGGATAGAATCAGGGCATTGTGCATGCTAGGCAAGCACTCTACCAACTGACCCACATGCCTAGACCTATAAAGTCAGTTTGTATGGAAACAAACTCTTTAGTCCCTAACAACACTGTGGTGTAGATTCTAAATTCTGTTGACAGATAGCATCCAACTCTCCTTGAAAATTAACCACAAAATCATATCTGTGAACAGAATCCAGTTAGTGAACTCTCATACAAAGCAAATGAGCCAAGACTTTGCCACCCAAGATACCTGAACTAGAAGTTTTTCCTCCAAGTTTGCATCTTTGCAAATACCATTAAGAATCGGAGCCGTGAGCTGGAGAGCTGACTGGGCAGTTAAGGGTGCTTACTGCTGCTCTTCCAGATAACCTGAGTTGGGTTCCCAGCAAACATGTTGGGCAGCTCAAAATTGCCTATAACTCCAGCTCCAGGGGAATCAATGCCTTCTTCTGGCTTCCACAGGCACCCACAACACGTGGCATACACATAAAGACATAAAATCTTTTTTTAAAAAAATGGGAGCCATGTTGGGTGTGACTGCATATACTCCTAATCCCTAATCCCATCACTTCTGAGGCTGAGACAGGATAATTTTGGAGAGTTCAAATGAGGGCCAGACAGCCTGGGAACCTGTTTCCAAAAAAAAAAAAAAAAAAAAAACTGTAGCAGTAGCAAGCATTGGCTGGGACTGAGGAATGTGGAAGCCTCGTGCACTGCTGGGGGGTAGAAAGTGGTCCTGCTGCTGTGAGAGACTTTGGCGGCTTCTGACTAGGTTAGACATAATTACCAGGAATGTACCCTGATTAACCTGAAGAAGTCAAAAAAAAAAAAAAATAGTAAACAAATAAAACTGGAACCAGAAATCAGCTCTCCCACTAAGTCATGCTGCTTTTTTGTATTTGGGGTGTTCTGCTAACTCATTCAAGTTATCCTCATGTTGGGAGCCTTAAGAGAAGAAAACAGAAATCCTTTTGGGGGAATCACACTTTATCCCAGCCCTTCAGAATGTAAAACCATAGAAGTGGAACGCTTAGAGACAAGGCATAAAGGATGAGGCTGGAGAGATGGCTCAGTGGTTAAGAGCACTAGCTGCTCTTGCAGAGGACTGGGATTTGACTCCCAGCACCCACATGGTGGCTAACAGCAGTCCATAGCTCCAGTTCCTGGGGATTCCACACCCTATCTTTACCTCCACTGGAATTGCAAGACAGGGGTGTACTTACATATGTGCAGACAACACATTCATACACATAAAAATAATAAGCAAAATATATTATAAAATGTTTTAAAAGATATTTTTAAATAAAAGACATAAAGGGCCATAAGGACCGTGAGGGGCTGCCCAGTTAAGAGGGCCGCTCTGAACGACTCTCCAGGCGTAGGTCCACCTCCTTTGCCCTCCTCTCCTGGCTTCTCTGAACCCCCACATTCTGCCCTATGTGGCTGTCGCTCCCAGGGCCGAAGACTCCTGCTGCCCTGGATCACCCAAGACAGCCCTGGGTAGAGACTCTGGGTGTGCACCCTGGGGAGCCACTTACTCGAGCTTCTTGAAGCGCTCGCGGCCTGCAGCCACGTACTTGCCCCCTGCCTGCAGCGCATCCAGCTCGAGCACCCGGTGGCCACATGTGGGCGTGTAGATGCGCCGCACGCCGAAGGGCACATCCACCTGCTCGGTCAGCTGCTCCAGCAGTGCCTCGAAGTTGGCCACGCGGTGCCTCAAGAACACGAACTTGCGGCCCACGTAGAACTGGTCCCCGTTGCGGTACACCAGGATGGTCTTGGCCGGCGTGGTGTCCACCAGCGCGTAGGACCTGCGCGTGCCCATGGCCGCTGCTCGCTCACCTCGGGACACGCCGGACAGGACGGCGCAGGAGACGCCCAGCACACCCAGCAGAGATGCTGACGTGTCCTAGGGGGCGATTGTGACCACCATGGGGCGGTTGAGGGGCGACAGAGAGCATCGCAGATGAGAGCCAGACAGAATCGGATGGGGAGGGTGCAGAGTGGGCTCAGACGGGTGAGGGGCCAGGAGAACCGGGACAGGTGAGGGCAGAGACCTGGGAAGGTGAAGAGACAGCAAAGAGAAAAGCGACAGACAGGTAAGACCAAGAAAACCCTGAGAGAGCCGCAGAGCCCAAGCAGGTAAGGGGGCAGAGCTCAGGAAAGAGGAGGAGAAAGGGGGCAGGACTGAAAGGATGCTGAGCCAGGAGCACCCACCATGACTTCTTCCCACCGTGCCTCCGCCCTCCACCACAGAGAATGGGGGAACTGGAGGCTTCTGACCATCAGCACTGGGGGTTGAGAGGAAAGCTGCTTCACCTTCTGAGCAGTTTTTCTTGGCTTCAGAATAACATATCCAAAACCACACAGCATGAGAGGAACTGGGTTGCTATAGCCGCGAGTACCCAGTACCCCAAAAGCATGACATTCAGGATCACCACAGGACAGGGATCTTTGCTAAAGTCATCCCTGTTCTGGCTAAAGATGGGCCAGCCATCTCCAACGGAGGCAATGGATGAATCTAGAAACACTTGCCCAATGATTCTGATATGCCTAAACAAACTCTCAGTCAGAAGCTATGTCTTACCTCTTGGCTCTGCACACAGAAGTTTCCAGAAATTGATACTGTTAACATCTATCTTGTAGTTTTTCTTTTTTCTTTTTTTGTTTGTTTGTTTGTTTGTTTGTTTGTTTTCGGTAGTTGCTCTGGAGGCCCTTCACTCTTCACAGCCACAACCAGTTTTTATTTTGGGTTTGGTTGTTTGTTTTTTGTTTTTGTTTTTTGTTTTTTGTTTTTTGTTTTTTTTTGTCTTTTTGAGACAGGGTCTCCCTGTAGTCCCAGCTGGCCTGAACTCGCTATGCAGGCCAGTGTCTCCCAATTGGCTAGTTCCTCCAAGGAGCGGGCCGCCAGAGCTTGGACATTGGAGGGCTGCTGGGAGCCATCCTGGGACTGAAGCCAGGAGCCCAGGGTAGCACACATGGTGTGGGGAATGAGAGCCAGCTGCAGCAGCTGAAGGACATACTGGGACTGACCCTTGTGGACCTGGGGTGAGATGGCTGGCCTCGGAGGCCGGAGCGAAAGCTAGCTATGGGCGTGACTATGGGCGTGGCATGGTCTGATATGGCCAGCTCTGAGCCACCAGGGCGGAGCTAGGCACTGGGTACTTATTCCTTTGTAAGTTAATAAATGCACATAAAGATATGTTATATGGTTTGCTTGAAAGCACAGGAGACCCAGAGGGTATTCGGGGGACACCAGGGTGGTCTTGAACTCACAGAGATCTGCCAGCCCCTGCCTCCTGAGTGCTGGGATTAAAGCCCTGAGGCCGGCTTTCTGGTTGGTTGTTTGCTTGCTTTTTGAGACAGAGTCTCCTTGTAGCCCCAACTGACCTGGAACTCACTATGTAGTCCACGCTGGCCTCCATCTCACAGCTATCCACCTGCCTCTGAATTCCGAGTGCTAGGTTAAAGGTGTGTGCCATCACGCCTGGCCACAGCCAGTTTTTTTAGACTACAGAAACTGGGTAGCAACATGAGACAGAGACCAATTTGTGGGATGATCACTTTATTGAACCGCCAGGTGTTAAAAACACTGAAAAGGGGTGAGTGGGCGATTACTACCAGGTACAGTCTGTTTAGAGATTTGCCCTGAAGCCTGCTTTCACAGAGAACCTCAGCATGGGCTTCTCCCCGGTCCTCAGCAAACAGACGGAACTGGGGAAACCCTTGAGCCGAAGGCGGCTCACACCCCCATCAGGGATGATGGTGAGCCTGGCATGAGTGATTACATCTTGGAGCTCCAGGGTCAGGCTGTCCAACAAGTGGTTTTGGTTGGGACACAACTGGAAGAAAGGCAGAGGCAAGGTCCTTGTAGAAGGGTCAGGTGTGTCTCCCCAGTGCCTTCTGTTAGGCTTAGGGGACTTGTAAAAAAATGATGCTACTCAGTGATAATTTGGCTTAACATAGAAATTCGCTAGCTGGGAAAAGGGACACCCACATAATGCTGACATGAGTGCTCAGGTCTCCTGGTATTTTTTTCCAGAAGTGGACAGACTGATAAGATGAAAAGGGAGGCACTCTGGTATCCCTAGGGTTCCATGAGCTGGCGTCTCCATGGTTACATGGAAGCAGCTCTCATTTCCACCCTACTCATGATGACCTTGATCTAAAATACTCTAGGAACATGTCAGTGTCCATCCACAGACACAACATTACCCTTTAAGTATGCCAGGCATCCATTTTAAAAGTCAACTGTGATGCAGAAACACTTCCATGTGTGTGTTCTTAGCATGTGGGTTTTTGTTTTGTTTTAGCAAATTTTGTTAGGCATTAAAAAGTGAAGGAAACAAGAGCCTGTCTACATTGTGTGAAAACTCACAGGTATGGCTTTTTACAGTGCATTCATTTTACCGTTAAACTGAGCAGAGACTTACAGTGTATCTTAATTCTATAAAAGTGAACTTGAGATGCCAAGCCTAATGGCAATAGGCCTGTGATCCCAACTACTCAGGAGGCAGGGGCAGGAGGATTGCAAGTTCAAGGCCAGTCTGGACAACTTATCAAGGCTCTCTATCAAAAAGTAAATGAGGGCTGGGCATGCTGGCACATGCCTTTAATCCCAGTTGAGGCAGGTGGATCTCTGTGAGATGGAGGCCAGCCAGGTCTACATAGTGAGTTCCAGGTCAGCTGGGGCTATAGGGAGACCCTGTCCCAAAAAAGAAAAAATTGAAAGTAGAAGAGGGCTGAGGATGTAGCTCAGTGGTAGGGAAATGCATAGTGTGTGCAAGATCCTAGATTCACACACTGAGGGCCGGTCCTTGAATTGCACCCCACGAACCTTGGTGCTCGGAAGTAGTGGCTTCCACTTATGGGCTGGAAGGACCCACTTCTGCCTGACCATGTCTTCTTCTTCCTGTGTGGTCAGGATACACCCATCCACTCTGCAGCTGTCAGGAGAATTACCTGTTGGAGGAAATAGAGACTTGGGCACTATGTTTGTTCCTCCGCACAGCTCAGCTTATAGGACACAGGCATTTTATTTTTTTTTAATTAGAAGAAGCATTTCATTACAACAGCATTAACCAATTATTCAATAACATTTTTCTGAGCTAGGGTACATCTCTTTCAAAATTGGCTGTACATTTCTAGGTTTACAGATGAATTATTACGCTTATATAATCTTTTACTCATTATAAACTCTATAAGACATAAAATTAAATGAGGTTCCAACGTTTAAAAAAGATCTCCATTTCATTATTAAAATACAGTTTCATAAAAAATTCATTTTTAATGCAATTGACACTAAGATGTTTGCACATGCGTTTCTAATCTCTATATATCTGATTATTACTAG